TGGTTTTGTTTTTTTTTTGTGTGTGTGTGTGTGTGCTGGCTTACATAATTTTGGAGACGAAGAGACAAAACATTATCAATGTTTGTTAATGACTGCATTCCAATGATTACCATCTGTAGCTATATTCTCGCTCTTTCTCTCTCGTCCTCCGAGAAGGAAAGAGTTGAAGACAAAAAGATATAAAAGTGAAAGAAAGAAAAAGAAAAATAAAATGAAAGAAGAAGAGATAGAGAGATGAAAATAGAAGTTGATCGAGACATTAATAAAGTAAGTTGACAGGATGATTTGGCATCGCGATTGGTGATTTGGGGTGGAGGCTCTTCACGTCTGTTATAAGGTCTCAGGTGGCGAGAGAGGTCTATATGGAATAGGCATGCATTTCCACATTGACGGCAGACGAGGGTTCGGTGTCGGCAAGGGGTCTCTGTCATTGCGGAAATGAAGTTTTTTTTTTTTTTCGCTCTTTTTTTTTCGGTGATGTGATTCGACGAGGGAGGTTGCCTGATAGCCTTTGTATCTCCCTGTCGCCATTTCGACTACTTCTGTTTCCCTGCTGATTGTATTTCGATCTTTGAGTGCTGTCGGCCCTTTTTAAGAAATATTTCTGAAAGAAACGAGAGCAAAAATAATGCAGAAGTTGCGCTTTTTGCACTACGGTAGACAATATATATATATATATATTGAATTTCCAAGCGTAGGTTAGATGTGGCACAAGGCCGAAAGTAGGGGAACTCAGTGAGGATCGAACTCACTACTCAGTCTTAATTGTTTTAGCGAGGCAAGCTTGCTATCCATTACACCTCGTCAAGGTACCCCAGTAGGCGCTATATATATATATATATATATATAATTTGTTTTCTGATGATCGCATAAGCGTGAAACCCAGTTAAAACGTTATATCCATACAACTGAACTAAGTAACGCACTTATATATATATATATATATATATATATATATATATATATATATATGACTGTCAACCGGTTTAGTTGAAGGACAACTCTGAATTCAAAACCTTATGGAACGACTTTTGGGGACCTTGTGGTACCCTATGTTCACAAGTTCTCTCTGTTTGGCTCAATCAAAATGTATGGTTGTTACTTCGCATGCCTTTACATTATAATCAAATAATTTGTGCGGGTTGTCTGACTATTGTTGTGAAAACCTAAGTTGCTTGACACTTTAATCTCAATCTTCAAGCCATTATGACATATTCTACACCCTAAATTTTACACTATTCGAAATATGCATATTAGCAAAGTAACTAAAACTAACTGTTACTTTGCAAACAAAAAACGAGGAAAACTAGTCCAATAAGAATGAATGTATATTAAAATACGCAATAGATATAATATTATCTGTTATCATGCGGAAAAATAAAGATCTATGTAATTTTTTTTTTAAATCGTTAAAGAAAATATCACATTTATAATAAAAATACTACTTTCTATATTTCTGTAAAACTATATTTTTTTTCGATATATATATGAAGAAATTTATTTTCTATCAATAATTATATTCGTTATATTTCTATAAAAAATATTTTTTTTTCGGAACTATTTTAGCATTTTTACCCAATGTAGACTTTCAATTCTTTTTGCATGAAGAAAATAGATAACATCTTTTCATTCTTTTTGGCAAAAATTAATTATAACTATTATGATCTCAAATTGATATTCATACATTCGGATATAATTTAAAATATGTTGGATACACTCTGTTTCAGTGTGCACAATTATATGCAAGTTTATCTCATAGGCAAATACACTTTCTTTTAAAGGGATTCCAATATTTAATTAAATATACGAACTATTTGAAAAATATTTCTTTCGTTAATTGTGTCTGAAACAATTGCACGTCATCGCAGAAAGAAATGGTTTCTTCTTTAACTTGGGGAATTATAAAATGCAAAAGAACCATGTTGTATATGAATAATTTTTCCTAACGACCACACTATAGATTCACATATGCATATACATATAAAATAGTTAACGTAAATAATTACCAAATAAACACAGTTTTGGTTATGACGATAAACTATATCCGCGTCTTGGGTAAGACGATAATCTACGCCTAACAGCAAGGCCTCTGATCAGGAAGTTTTGACGAACGTGGAAGTACCTCTTAATTGCTGGTGTTTCCAGGTTCACCCTGACCTGGGGTGGTAGCACATGTTAGGATCCCAGCAAATAGTTAAACCCCAAACTGGGTCAAAACTCGTGTGAAAGTGTAAAAATAATTTTTAGCACCAGCAATATATTTTTGGAAAAAAAATACCAGAAGTGAATATTTGAAGGAAAACATTATTACCAGCAATACATTATTACCAGCAATATACTTTTGCAAAAATCAAATATTACCAAGAATACATTTTTAAGGGAAAAATATAACCAGCAATACATTTTTGGAAAAAAAAATAGTATCATCAATAAAAATCTCGTCGACATTAAATAACCCATTGAGGTTGATAAGCCGTAAAACAAAACAAACCAAACCAAACTAAACCAAAGAAACCATATAAAGGAGGGGGAACATAAATTTGAAGGAATTCAGGGTAATGAAGAAAAAAGTGTTTGAAAGTTGAAAAGAAACTGCAGCGAGGCAAATGAATTTAATAAACAAAAGAAAATGAAGAAGACGAAAGAGAATGCTAACAACTGGTTTGGTAAAGAGATGGTGCAAAGTAATACAGGGGAGGAAATTACTAAAGAATGAGAGAGAGTGAAAATAAGATATAGAGTAAAAGAAAGAAAGAAATAAAGAAAGAAAGAAAACTAAAGAAAGAATAAAAGTAGTTTCTTTAAAAAAAAAGTGGGAAGATAGGAGAAGAGACATAGAGTGAAGTGAGCTCATGTAAAACGAGAAGAAGACTGTGAGCGACAGAAATGAATACAAAAAAGACAAAGTTTAGAAGAATGAGACAGTAAGAGTCTGTTAAGAAATAAAGGAAAGGGGGAAAGAGACCAAGGTACGCAGGGAAAGTATAAAAGAATGAGAGAGGGTGAAAATAATATATAGATTAGAAGAAAGAAAGAAAGAATAAAAGTAATTTCTCTGAAAAGAGTAGGAAGTTGAGAGAATGAGAGAAAGATGAGTGAGCTCAAATAAAAAGAGACAAAGACTGTGAGGAAGAGATGAATACAAAAAAGACAAAAATTAGAAGAATGAGACTGAGAGACTGTTAAGAAATAAAAGAGAAGAGGAAAGAGACCAAGCTACGTGGTGGGGAAAAAAGAAGAAAAACGGAATCAATGAAGTAAGAGAGGAAAAGCTAGATGAAGATGGGGAGAATCATAGCCAAAACAAGAATATGAGAACGAATAAAAGAAGTAAGAAAAAGACATCGAAAAAGGTAAGTTAGAAAGAAATGGCGTTCGAGAGTGTCAAAATGTGAAGTCACAGAGTGCGGGAGAAAGAAAGAAATTGCTAAATCAAAAGAAAGGCAAGAAAGAAAAAAAAGAAAGAAAGAAAAAGTTGTATCGCTTCAAAAGAGAAAGATTGATAAAGAAGGAAAGAAAGGTGGGTCAAGAAGGAGAGAAGTGAAAGCGAGAGAAAATTGACATGCCACCGAATCCTTACGGGTGTTGAGAGCAAAATCCCTATTATAAGACGTGAAACGCTTGACAAAGGCACGTGCACAAAAATAGCATTTGCACGCGTTCAGCAAAAAGAAAAGAAAAAAAAAACGGAGCCTTTCCACCCGACACCAATCATTTTCATGTCTGTCTTTCAATGGTAAAAGAGTTTTGCCCGGTGTCTGGTCACGACCCTCCATTAGCCATGTATCTTGTCAGTGTAAAGGCTTCGATGCCGTCCCTGAAAAGGATCTGCAAAAAAATAGAAACAAAATAAAATGAAATATATAAACAAATATATGAACAGAAGTTTGTTGAGTGGCTTAGCCGAGTAAAAAGGGAAATAAGTGAAACGGAATTCGAAAAGATGTAAAAAGAATGAAAAGGAACATAGCGAATCAATTATTCTTCTCCTTTCATATTTTACTCTCTAGATTTGTTTCTAAAAAACAGTTGGTTATTCTTTCAGTATCAATTATTTATTGTGTTGATGCTGTCATCTTTTTTATATGGTTTTCATTTTCGGTTCAGAGTTTAACATTGGCCATGATATTTTGGAACATGTGCAGATAGCATGTCAGTTTGTGTCTAAGGTGCATTTATAGCGATAAAAATAAGTGTGAATAATTGTCCCCTCTCTCTGCACGGACGAATCCCCTTCATAAATACACAGACACACACACAGACACACACACACACACACACATATATATATATATATATATATATATATATATATATATATATATATATATATATATATATAGCTTATTTGCAATTGTTATATTTGAAGGTGCTTAGTTTCAGAGAGACAAAGTTGAAAATAGAGAGGCCGGATCACCCTGAAATATTGGTTCCTGTGCAATCACCGGAGTTAAGTAATGTCGAGCCTGGTCAGAAAGTAGATAGTGGACATCTTGGGAATACCAAGTTTCTCTAAGATGTATCGGTGGTTCAATGGATAAAGACATTGAATTGCAAATATGTGAGATGAGTTCAAATTCCTGTTGGGTTCATTACATACACTTACTGGCAAATTCCCTTGGGGAAGTTATGACATATCCTCTCCAAAATTTGGGTTAATTAGTAATACTTGGATAACTAAACTATTTAAATATGCACCACCGCAAAAAAATTTGCAATCTAAAAATATTAGCCTGCACGGAGTTGATATGCTGTATGCAATGAATCAATCAAAGACAATGCGTGAAAAATAGTTTCACGCATGAGGTGAGCCCAAGACGATATATATATATATATATATATATATATATATATATATATATATATATATATATAGGGGGCGCCTGTGCGTAGAATTGGTTTAATTATTTATTAACTGCACACACACAGACACACACACACACATATATATTGATACATGTTTCATTAAATAATATATACAAGTGTTGTCTATTTATATT